ACAGACTGTTGAGGGTTCAGCCTCCTGATGAGTCGGTGAAACTCCGACGAAACAGTTTGTCACAGCCCCTCGTTTGTTGTCCTCTTCCCCCTCTCTGCCTACGGTTTACCGGGCTGTTCTATTTGACGATATATATGTATACAAATTGCGAATATCCAGCCTCGTTAGCATCAATCGAACAAACAGTCAGCCTCGCCTCCCTTACAAGTGTTTCATCTGGGCTGATCTTGACTAGGCAAGTCCTGAAAAGCTGACGTCAACTCATCTGGCTTTTTGCGAAATTGTACTAGATAGTTGCCCGACTCTCCTAACTCAACCTTTAGGAAAAGCAAAATCGCATTGAAAACCAACCACATAAGCATGTAGCCCCACACTGGAAATCTCGGGCAACCTGTTTTAAGTGCTTCAAGCTGCGCTAACTCGCAAACATGTATCGAAAGAGGAGCGTGGAATTGACCGTTTTCAGTCACGACCAGAAGTCACTCATGTTAGTCAAGTAGACGACCATCAGTCACTAAACTGTAAACAAGCCTTTCTTTACGCGTCGGCAAGACTGTGGGAGCATCAACTTGTGTCAAGCACTTCGTCACTATGGAGAGGCACAAAAGGTCCAAGTTACATCTCAAGTCAGTGAAAGCGTCTCTTCCTCTTCCTCTCGAACGGAGGCGAGTGGTCCACCGTTATCATCGACCAACCTTCTTCGACGCACACGGTCTCTCCCTCTCTCCCTCTCTCCCTCCTGAACGCGACCCACTTGCCGTCTTGACCCTTTCACATCAGTAGCAATCCAAGTTCTTTAGTCATCGTGCGTTGTTCAGCTCCGTTGCGGACAAATCGAGGTCTTCCCTCCAAATATACATATACACTCGCAAGCTTCACGAGCGAGCACGAGATCAGCAGCGACTTCTTGTACTAACCTTTCTCGAGCGCACTTTGACTGAGTTCTCCGCGACAACCGAGACCCTCAATCTCCCAGCGGGAATTAGAGTCGGTCCAAAAGGAAAAGTGGAGAAGCAGCTGATATCTACTGCGACGAATATGCTCGCGTTCAGCTAGCGCAAGCCACCCCTTTGTAGCACTTCTCTCGCTCTGTTACATGTCTCCCCTTCCTCCGCCGCTCATGCACAGCCCGTGCCCGGCACAACCGCCTCTCTCGACCCGTTGTTTGTCTCACCTTTCATTGACCCTCGCGCGTCTCTTGTCCGTGTCACGTGTCAACCGTCGAGTATGCACCCACTTCGCCCGTGCAGCTCACACGTGTGTTTCCGAGTAGTGTCCACTTCATTGTCTCTCCCGAGCTGATCTCCCGAAGTGGACCGCAAGAAAACTTCGGAGAAGACTTATCCTCTGGCCACTTGGCACGATCGCACACCATCTCTCCTAATCTCTTGCCGCGGCACGAAGACTCACCATAGATCAGTAAACACCAAACACCGCGAGCGGTCCTGGGGACAGTTGTTGACATCAACTGTGTCCAGCAAGATCGCGCGTCCCGTTTTTCTGCGCAGTCTCCCCCTTCTTGTTGACTTTTCTCTCTCCCCTTGAACTGCCACGTGTCGCGCATGTACCCATGCCACTACACTTGCCTCAGCCTCTCCGTTTCGGGTTTCGTCCCGTTCACACTCTCGCCCGCGTGTTTTCTCAGACCTGTCTTTTCCCCCCGATCTGCCTCTCACCCGTCCCACGGCCTCTGGGTGTCAGCTGTCGAGAGCTGGCCTCGGGTCCCTCTTCCACCGGTTTCGCAGCTCGGTGATGCCTCTGGACTTCGCCTGGCCTATTCCAGGACCTGAGTTCCGTCTCCCGGTCCCCTGCTTCACTCATTTCGCTCTCCCCACCTGAGTCCCTGTCCACGTGGGCTTGTTCCAGGTCCGCTGTATCCATTGAGGTCTCGGTCTCATGGTACGAGACCGTTACCTGCAATCTTGCTGTCACTCCGTCCCTCCTGCAGCGCCTCTCCGCACGGTCTTTCGCCTCCGTGATCGCATCCTGCAGTTTTCCATCAGTCCGCATCTCCACCTCTTTTGCCCCTTCCACGTTAATTTTCATCCTCACTTCATCACCCCCATCGTAGTTGAGCATGACTGTGATCCAGGGCCCTTCCCAAGACATTGGCTTCCAGCGGGCCTGGTGATACCAATACCCGGGCCTGTACCCATGTAGCGCCATAGCCACTTTTTCTCAATAGTCTGCGCCAGTGCTCAGCCCGCACTATCCCTGCTCGCAGAAGTACTTAGCCAGGCTGAATCCAGAGTATCGGGAATCAAGGCTTCAGAGCGATGCCATTACTCACACTCGAGGAGTGATAACGTCCCCCTTATGCATTTTTGCCTCAGGACCCAGGGGCAGCCTCTGTTTTATAGAGCTCCGGGTGAGTGCGACCCCGGTGTGCTAAAAGAGGGTTTTTCTGATAGTAACTCGGATTTTAAGATTTAATAAAGTAACAGAAAATTCAAATAAATCTTGAATAAGACTGGCGGGAACTCCAACAGCCCGTGCACAGTCAGGGCACTCGAACCACCGTTGCGCCAGTCCGTAGACTGTGCAACATGACCGTGGTCCAAAGAAAAGAGAAAAAAAAAATAAAGATCCCATAATGGGATACCAACGACCGCATTTTCCCTTTCAAAACAGACCTTCGGTCTACCACCATCGGGTGCCCGTGTCCGATGGTAAGGAGGGGGCTTATGACCCCCTTCAGGGGTGATAAGCTTCCTACCAATGCGGCCGCGGGTCGCCCTCCACTTTTGGGGTTCTGCTGCACGGCGCTCTGTCGAGTGTGACAGCTGCGGAATAGTACCGGAAAGTCGGCCCTCCTAGGCCACTAATTTAAACGGGTTCGAATTCGAACCGTTGGTGGGCCCTTTCCGCGACACAGCTCAGGCTCAGCCGCAAACAAAACTCTGATAATAATAATAATAATAATAATAATAATAATAATAATAACATCAATCTGAAACGATGCGATATAGTGGTTGGGGCCGACTAATTTTCCCTACTAAGGCACTTCGACCCAACTGTGGGCCAGGCCTCTAATCCCCTTTTCATTTTCCTTTATTTTTCTTTTCTTCCCCCTTTCTGTTTTCTCTGCATAGTCTTTTCATCCCTGACAACGACTAAGTGTACCTGACCCATAACCTGACCAAAAAACACTCAATGTGTTGTAGAAAGGATTGCGCCGGTCCTTTCACCTTCGCGTCCCAGGGCGGACCCGGCGGCTACCACGGCTTCAGGCCGGTCGTGCTCTGCTGTATAGCAGGGCGCCGAGCCTGCGTGGACCAATGGAAGTCCTGTGGCGCACCCCTTTTGTCAAGGGCACAACCACCAGGACTGGTCCGAGCCGAAGCACGGCCTGGCACTAACGGCAACGGAAACCCAAGACACATCTACAGGCCGAGGGACCGACGCGAGGGAGTGTACCAAGCAGGGACTTGGTACACGGAGGAGGGCCGGGACACTGCGCCCTCCGACAACGGAAGTCGATAGTCCTCCTCTTCTATATTCTTACGAGGACTATGCTGCCCGGCTCGTTCCTACACTGGGTACTCATGCTCAAGGACAAGACGTGTGTGCGACATCTTCTCCGTCCGGCAGCGGCAACTTATCGTCTTCAAGTGGTTCTTCACGGGATTCGGTGCGCGAGTTCAACATAGAGGTATTGGACCCGCTCACGTCCGAGGATTTCGCATGGCTTCCTCTCCCGACCACAGGCTGCTTGCCGGGACCGCAATGCG